AACACACTCATACATACTTACATACACACACACATTAAATATATATATCGAAATAGATGCATATACATACAGTAGGACATACACACAAACACAAACACGCATACACACACACACACACACACACACACAATATATATATATATATATAGAATAACAACCTTGCATCTCTTCTATGATAAATCAACTTATACAGCGCTATGTGTACTACAGCCGTATAGTATGGAAAGAACAACAAAAAACCACTCGGAGCCTGGGCACTCGATAAAAACTTACCGTGGAAAGGATGTACTTGTTCGCAATTATGACTGTCACACTGACCACCCACCAAAAGATAGTGAAGGCAGCAGTCCGGGTGTAGTAGGAGACCCCCTCCCTCTTGACAACACTGTTTTCATCACGCCCACACAGCCAGTCAACACCATTCTCGACCCGCATAGCTTGTACATGCAGTCGTGTCGCAATTGATATTGACTATGTTGCCGACCCTGATATGTATATACTATGTCAAGCGTGCTTTTCGAACCACTCATTGGCGATTTTTAGATAAAACCTGCCACGGGTTTTCGACACCGATTGCATCGCCCAGACAGCTACTGATCCCTAGGTCAATGTAAATAGAACAAACTCGCGTATGAATGAGTATTTACACACGGGTACACGGCCACGCATACACACGCAATAGATTTATATAAATATAAGTAAGTATGTACTGTATTTACAGAAAGTTTATTGTTTTTACCTTCTTTTTTGTGTTTTTAATTTAGAAGGCTATGCCTTAATTTTTTAAAAACATATAAAAAAAGGATCCAGATTCCTCGTTCCACCAGAGGAGGATTTCACTTTTCACTTTTCACAAATCTGTCGTGTCCGACTCGTGTGCCACAGATTTTATAAAATCTCCACTTTTATTCACTTTTGGCGGTGACAATTATGTATCCATTCTACTACGCCCACAGAGAGGATCGAACAGCAATTCATGGTAGCATACAATACACGTAGGGTTAGCTAAGATAGTGGATGGTGTTGTAGACGTGAAGAGACAACCAGCTCTATGCTAGGTGGTATGAATCTCCTAGCATACCACACTGGTTCGATCGGGCAAGAGTTCCATAGACTTTCAATTAATGATAGGTAAAGTTATGTGCATCAGCCATTTTTTAGTATGTATCATGTGGGAGGGGGACAACTAGGGATCAGAGCAACAAGGTACGCGGCGGAAAAATGTATGTGATCAGGTACGATTGCTAAGAGCATATCATTCGCATGTTCGGTGCGGAGTCTTTTACTAAAGCCCACGGGGATGAATGGGAGTCCTATGAGAGAATTCTGTTGTAGTCAGGATCATGTCATTGGGGATCCAAGCAGCACGTTTTGTTGGGATAAGGGTTTTGTTAAAAAAAGCCATATATTTCTTGTGTCGTACAACTCTAAAAAAGTTGTACTAAAAAATAGAAAGACGATAGGTTGTTCACCGTCTCTTTATACCACTTACCTCTCTAATCCGACCTACACCGCCCTTTTCATCCATGTATCTTTCAGCACCGTTTGCGAGTGAGAATGCCAGTTTTCTCCACGGCATATCAAGCTAGGTGTAGTCATTGATCACCTTACACACACATATACGTAGCTGTCTGTACATACATGGTTTGTAGGTTGGCCTACATATACCACAAGGGCAGCTCTAACTCTAAACCAGGTCTAAAAGGTAGGCGCTTGCCCGTATAGGTACTGTAACAAACGTGATAATTCACAACCGTCACATCATTACCCATCTGGTAGTTTAGTGACGACATTCAACAGTAAGTGGGGGTACTAAACGTACAACATATACTTTATAGCTTGAAAACTGACATGTTTTTGACGGAAGTTTTCGGGGGGCAACACAGGGCTGAAGTTCGTGACGTCTTCATGTAACCGTGCTCCACCTGAACTAGGACACGCCCTCGCGTAAACGCTATTTCTAGAGGTTCCTTATTTTATTATTGATTGGGTAATATTTAAGCAGTGGATAATTATATGTAGAGTGGGTACTGGGTAGGGTGGTGAGCTTTTGGACAAGTTGTCAGGAAAAAAAATGGTCGTTGCTCTAGTGCGTTTCTGTTGCGTCTGTGATCATATCCTTATATACATAACTTTAGCTGTGATCATATCCTTATATACATAACTTTAGCTGTGATCATATCCTTATATACATAACTTTAGCTGTGATCATATCCTTATATACATAACTTTAGCTTCTTACGACTACCCTATTATATTATAATCTTTCCCGGCTATAAAGGTATTATTCCAGTTCCACGGCGCTGGCATCCTCTAAAATTGTATTCATTTTCTCTGATCTGTTTCCAACTCTTTTTTAAAATAAAAAAAATACAGCTAAATATGTACCCCGTAAAAGCTTTTCTATTAATTTAATATAAAAAAACCACAATAAAAGCTCTGACTTTTTTTTCAAGCTTTTTTTGCTGGATTTTTTTCGGTGGACAACACACTAATGAGGTATTTACGTGACGTCCCTAATCGTGCTCCATTCAAGCTTGGCGCACGCTATGTGCTTATGTCACAATTGCAAATTTGTCATAGTGCGCTGCGAACCATTTCATTAGCTCCGATTAAGTTCAGGAATGCAACGGGACGTTACCGCTTGTCACACAAGCACCCTGTGACGGGAGCGTATATGTGGTACATAGGTTTGGGCGACGTGAGAATGGTCGAGTCTGGACAGGCGTCAGTACACGATGTGTGTTGAATGTTCGAATTTGGCCTCGCCCTTCCGTATCACTGCATCGAGTAACATCGAAACTCCGTCGTTACAGAGTACAGAATGAACCAACAAAACCCAAATATCTTTGTCGGCTGGAACAGCCGGCCTGCAAAAATGTCATCAGTCGAAATTATGCGTTCATAATAAGAAAGTGTCTTTGGCCTGTGCTACTGCTAAAGCTAAACTGCTAAAGCTAAACTGCTAAAGCTAAACTGCTAAGGCTAAACTGCTATAGCTAAACTGCTAAAGCTAAACTGCTAAAGCTAAACTGCTAAAGCTAAACTGTTAAAGCTAAACTGCTAAAGCTTGACTGCTAAAGGGTGTGCGCGAGGTCGATTTTACACTACCTGAAGAAAGGCTCTAAGGGTGTCGCCGGTGACTTGCTGGCTGAAGGCAGATGGGTTTGGCAGGTCTAATGCAAATGGCAGCTGCGACGAGCGGCCTGTGATGGTTTAAAAATAAAGCTAATTTTATTCAATAGCTATCACGAACCACATTTGCGATGCTAGCTTTATGTGCTCGTGCTAGTTTGGATTGAGGTGTGCTTCGGATTGCATGTCAGGGGACACCGCACGCGCGTTGTACCACTCACTGAATAAAATTGCATCTGCTATGGTGTTTTCAATGCCTAGGATGCGTTCACATGTAATGTATATATCGTTGGTAACCTCTGTCTTTGTAAGCAGGTGCAGCAGGCTTAAGATTTGTGGTATTGGGTTTGTTCTGCGGGCAATGCCAACCTCTGCGTGAGTATCATTCAAAAGCAGTACAACGGGGTGTGTCCGCCATTGGTATTCAAATATGGCAGCAGCGTACACTACTTTAAGCAGCTCAAGTTTAGTCATCGAGAATAGTGCGGTAGATTACCTTGTTTTGGGATGATATTTTATTTGTCGTTTGAGGAAGATCCACTGACCAGTGGACAGTGAACAAATAAACATCGCCGCCTCCTCCTCTAGCTGTAGTACATGCGTTCACGGTAACAGTGATGTAAGGAGGGCTGTCCCAGACCAGCTCTGAATCGTAGTAGACCAGAATGTCAAATACTGTTTATGTGATGCTGGTTCCGACATGGTGCATATCTAAGAAAACAGCCGTGCAGTGTAGGGGTGTGCCTGTGAAAGGATGCTGCAAAGCTACATTAGGCACCTGGCAAGCGGGGCAGTTTTATCGCTCTAAGATCTGCTGTCTTTTTGTGGTAGAACCGCTAACTGTGTCTGTAATACAATGTTAATGATGACATCCAAGTATTCTGCTTCTGTAGCAGTAGCGAATGTTTTCTCAAAGGCAAGTGCTAATCCCTCTAAGATCTGCTGTCTTTTTGTGGTAGAAACGCTAACTGTGTCTAATACAATGTTAATGATGGCACTCAAGTATTCTGCTTCTGTAGCAGTAGCGAATGCTTTCTCAAAGGCGAGAGGTATGCCCATCTTAGAAAAGAAAGCGACAATATGACTTTTCAACAAATTCAAGGCCCAGGAATGAGGTATCGGCGATACGAATTCGGATTGAGGCGGAATGCGGCCCTGATATCTATCACGGACACAATTGTGCCGATAGCCCTTGCAGCTACATCGTCTAGTATCGATCGGAACCTGGTGTTGTTCAGGTGTACTCCAGATTGCGGTCGGCTATTTTGTCGTTGCTATTCGTGTAGCGGGGATATGACAAAGGGTGAATGTGGTGCCATTACTGACTATCTTATCGCATTGTTTTGTGAGCACTCCGACGGAGGATATGTAATTATATGGCCAATGTTGTCTTGACCCCTTCTGAGTGCTTGAACGCAACCATGTAGCGTGTTTCGTAACCAACGGGAGCCATTGAGGTTTTTTACTTCGGTCGTATATATACATACCAATGGCAGTTGGGGGTGAGACTTGCACATTTGAAGTCAAGAGAGCTAATAGTAATCGCTATATCCGCCGTGGTGTGTGTTGTTAATGGTGGTGGTGCTCTGGGGTATCTCTTTTGTGTATTTGTTCGCTAGCCGCTTATTCGCTTGCATGGGGGTGTGGCCTGCATCGTCAGTCATCAATCTTTATGAGTGAGTGCTGGATGGGTATTCGGTGTTTTGCAGCCTCGTGTGCTATATACATGTTTGAATCGATACTGTCATGCGGTGCGTGTACAGCCGCGCGTTTCATTACATAAGCCGGTATACAAGTGAGGGGGCTGGGGTTGTGGTTGCATGGTGGGTGCTGTGTATTGGGCTTGTAGCTGCAGAAACGGGTTTCTAGAGAGCATTTCTGACATGTGGCACATGGTATTCTGTTCGCCTCTGATGTGAGAATGTGACGAGTACATGGGAATCAATCCGTGAGTACTGCATGTATGTATCATTGTAAGATTGACTGTTGATTTTAAAGTCTCGTCGAATCGTGTTACACCTTCTGCTGTGTGCGGGTTAAGCTAGCTGCATATCATGATGAGGTAAGCTATCATATCCCCAACAGCTGATTCGTATGTAAGGAAGTTGGGCGTATGTTCCCACATATATGCATAACATCCGCTACAAATGATACATAAATACATATCGAAGCTATTCGCATACCCATTGGAGAAAGAGACCCAAAACCTTGCACTACGGAGCGGCTTTCACGATAGGATACATATAAAATAGCACTTGAGCTTCAATAAACGATGTAGCTTGAATGTCCACCGCAAAAATCGGAATCAAGCGTTCGTTTTGGCATACAGAGCAAATGGATGATTTATGAATCGAGCATACGATATATAAGCATTTGGATACGCCTGCCTCCTCGGCATGCAGGAAATTTCCAAACTAAAATGAGTCTTTTCTCGAGTCTGACGAAGTCGGATTGCTTGAAGTATCTTTATTTGATCTCGTTAAAGCTAAAGTGCTAGACTATGCGGAGACCACAAGATTTTCGCCTTTCTTAGCTAGCGTGTGACCCGCAACTACGATAGCAACTTTTGATACTCGCAATGTGCAGCATCCATTCAATACAACTCGAAACTCTATAACCCAACAAGTTTGTTCTCAAATCAATTCATAGTATGCAAAGTGCAGATGAACTCAGGAATCGACCATTACGGATCCCCAAAACGTGACGAGATGGACAATTGACGCAGGCCTCCATTTACGCAATCGCTTGTTTTCTTGCGTTTAGCACCCTAAGGGCGCTGTCTGGTGTTTCAAAGAACATGGCCTCTGGGATGTGCACAGGCTGATCGGATCAGATAGGAATGAATGCTTCATCTTCGCTTGGTTTGAATAAAGAGGTTCACAGATATCACGTGCGCAAGCTCCCAGCTTTCAGGTTCATATTTCGGCAATAGTTCGACCACACTACGGCAGTCTTCTCAATCCTCTTCTCATAAATCCTCAGATCCTACGGAGGGGTGGGTGTGTGTACGTGTGTGTAGATAGATATAGTCAGATGCATGGGTACAGTGTTTAAATGTCCCTGCTTAGCCATTGTGTGCGTAGATAGATATAGTCAGATGGATGGATACAGTGTCCATAGGTCACTGCTTAGTCATTGTGTGTGTATATAGATATATATAATCAGATGCATGGATACAGTATCCATAAGTCACTGCTTAGTCCTTGTGTGTGTATATAGATAAATATAATCAGATGCATGGATACAGTATCCATAAGTCACTGCTTAGTCATTGTGTGATTAGATAGATATATATACAATCAGATGCATGGATACAGTGTCCATAGGTCACTGCTTAGTCATTGTGTGATTAGATATATATATATAACCAGATGCATAGATACAGTGTCTATAGGTCACTGCATAGTGGTCGTGTGTTTAGGTATATATATATAACCAGATGCATAGATACAGTATCTATAGGTCACTGCTTAGTCATTGTGTGCGCAGATAGATGGCGTATACTTGAAAACGCAGCGCGTCAAAACCCTAAACCTTGAAACCCTACAAGAGCGACAACACAGTGAGCACGTGCCTGTGAACCGTTTTGCTGATGAACTTACAATACAATGTTTAATACATCACGCACGCTTATATAAACAAAGACAGCAGACTCACACTCATGACGGTATTGATCGACGTTACGGTGTCGTTCAGCTTTTCCACGTTGTTTGCAATCCTATCCACGAGCAACTGTAAAGTATGACATATGCGTGGTTATGAGTATAGTAAGCAACTGTAAAGTATAATATATGCATGGGTATGAGTATAGTAAATAACTGTAAAGTATAAAATATGCATGAATATGAGTATAGTAAGCAACTGTAAAGTATAATAAGCAACTGTAAAGTATCATATATACATGGATATGAGATAGTAAACAACTGTAAAGTATAATATATGCATGGATATGAGTATAGTAAGCAACTGTAAAGTTTAATATATGCATGGATAAGAGATAGTAAGCAACTATAAAGTAAAATATGTGCATGGATAAGAGATAGTGAGCACCTATAAAGTATAATATATGCATGGATATGAGATAGTAAGCAACTGTAAAGTATCATATATGCATGGATTTGAGATAATAAGTAATTATAAATTATAATATATGCTTAGATATGAGATAGAAAGCAACTGTGAAGTACCATATATACATGGATATGAGACAGTAAGCAACTGTAAAGTATCATATATGTATGGATATGCAATAGTAAGTAGTGGACACACATACACACATAGACGTCTATAGCCTAGTTCTTGCATAGCAGCAAGGTAGTAGTCACACACACACACACACAGACGTCTATAGCCTAGTTCCTGCATGCAGCAAGGTAGTGGTGGCAGGACGCTTGCTAACTTGGGTTATAACACTTCAGTTATCCGCTGGGTATAACAATATACTCATCAATACCAACACACACCCACACACATCTGCATGGAAGAGATATTATGTAAGGGCACTTAAATAACCCTCTACAGCGGTAGAACTTCTGACACAGAGTTGCATACATACATGTATATGCCACAACCACAAGTCACACACACCGGTGAACGGCTTATACGACCGTGCTACATAATAAGTAAGTCAATGGATCGAACAGATGTGGCTCCACAGTAAGAAGGTCTTTTGCGATAAAACTTCCCGACATCACGAATACCGGTCATATACCATTAAAAGCTACCCAGAACTCTTGAGTATGTTTGTGTAGCCTATTCGTCGAGTCTTCCGTGACCATTGGGTTAACGTTGCTCATAGAAACAACAGCAGTGTATTCGGGACTGCTTGACGTTACTGCAATGTGCTTATAGGTGTGTATAGTCCTAAAAGCCAGTGGACTGAGCATAGAGTGGTTCGCATGCAATACTAGCGTCTATCCCCTATGCGATCAAAAACACTCTCGTGTGTGCTATATACGATACAATGGCTCGTGTTTGTATGTCCAGGTTGCCACTTTCGCGTCGTTTCAGTGGGCACTTATCTTGTTGCATTGGTATGGAATCGGGTCACCGTTCATTCATGCTCTACCACTAGAAAAAAGCCGAATAGAAGTACAGTAGGTCTGCTATTGCGCTTAGTCTCGCTATCTGCGACAACAACAACAACAACTAGCTACACCTGGATGTTGTCGTCACTCACATCACGTTGCTGCAAGAAAGAGCCTTAGCAGAGCTACCGTACTGTCGCTGCTTGAGCCATATTATGGGTGAACATTTAACCTAGTATATCCTAAGCCCCTATTTGGGACTCGGGTAGCATCACTTACATCTCGACAGACACCTCATTCAACTCAATGCAGTACCTACAATATTGAACCGTATCCACATACCTGCATTACATACAATATTGATCTGTATTCACATACATGCATTATATACAATATTGATCCGTATTCACATACATGCTGTTGTTCGCTGTGTGGATTATCCATCATGTGGTCGTATCGGCTCCTCTCAGTCACTCTGATGGAAACTCAATACATATAAAGAATTGTCCTTTAGATTTGAAACTCAACAATATACAGTCTCTCTCTCTCTCACTCACTCTCTATCGAGATGTATTGTCGATAAATATGTACATACATACATATAATAATATAGATAGGTATGATCCGTTCGTACTTTCCCATGTCCCTCTCTGCTGGGGAGTCCGGGAGAGAGTCTGGAGACTGGGACTGTGTGGGAGTCTCGAGAGAGAGAAAGTCAGAAAGCCGAAAGGGCGGTTTGGATTTTATGTTTTTAAAAATAAATAAATAAATAATTCTATAGCCTTCTTCTGTTCAGTTCTTCTTCATATTTGTTTTTAAAAATAAATATTTTAGAGAGGCCGAAAGTCCGAAACCCTGAAGCTGTATTTGTAGTTTGTATTTTTCAAAAAGAAAAAGAAAAATACTTCTTCTTGTGTGTAGTAAATAGTGTGTGCAGTATTTAGATGTGTTGGCAGATGCAGCACTCAGTGTGGTTCGCACAGAACCAAATCAAGGTTCCTGCCTTTCTGACCAATCAGAATCAACTAAAAAAGATGCTTTTGCGAGAGTCATAAATAAAAATAAATAAAATAGGCTTTTGAGAGTCCTTTGTGAACACACACAATAAGTCTTTGAGTCTGAACAATGAACAGAGCGAGTGGCAAACGACTAAGATTAGTGGCGTGTGGTGACTGGCGACTGGCGACTGAGAGACTCACTAGTATATATATATATTTATATATATATATATATATATATATATATATACTATAGAGAGAGAGAGAGAGAGAGAGAGAGAGTAGTGTGTGTGTGT